TTATGCTTGGACATGTCTGCAACAGGCCCTAGTTTGTGTTATTTCTATTCGTGTTTTGTTGGTTACGTCTGTTTTCGTTTTGGTTACAGTGCACTGAAGAAAAAAAAAAAAAAAGAATATCTGAGAGGTGTGATCCACCGGTGGTGATATGTTGATATTTTGTGAGTTCATGATTTAACAATCAGCTCTTTAAACCAGGCCTGAAAGATTGAAATTTAAAGCGCTATGAAATATTCTTACAAAAACAGTTGCAAAGTGTGTTTCTCCATGATTGTAATGGGCTTGGGAGAAATTCACTTATATGGGACACTGATCACATGAGAAGTCCTTAGTCTAAAAAGGATTGCAGCGGGTCAATCCAGAATAAAAGAACAAAGAATTTTTTCCTTTTAAAATGATGACGTCATCTTGCTGGTGATGGACGCTCGAATAGGTTGCGCGTGAGACTCCATTATCAGCAACATCTGGTATGAATGTGTGTGGAGGTATGCATGTGAATGGACTGTGATGGACTGACGACTAAAAGGACCCACTTTAGGACTAGTAAATGCCAATAAACAATTCACCCAGCGGACAAGAGAAGGGTGGATGCTTCGCTTTGTTTTGTTTTTTCAGGAGCAGGAGGATAAGAGAGACTGGAGGAGGAGACTGTGGCTTCACATGAGAGTGTGGAACTGCAGACTTAACACTTGGGTTGGTAATGCTGAGTTACTGTTGTTTGCATTAAGAAAACTGTGCTATATTAGCTGTGTTTTGATTAAGGTATCATGTTATATTATTGGGAATGCCAAATGCTACAGTGGAGAAAAACGTTTGATATCACTCATGACTGGAATATGTTATTATTAACCATAGCAGGCCACTGTAAAAAGTTAATTAAATTTTATAGAGGAAAATCGCCAAAACTTTAACAATACCTATGAATGACTTGCCACATTCAGAATAGAGATATGTAATAACAAACATTGGGCCACGTGATTTAGGTTCTCGCTTGAAATAGTAAGTTATTAAAAGTAGAATATAATCGACAGGGACATTTGATAGGATGTGGTACTGAAAAAGAACAAGAGCAAAGTAAAGAAAGAAAACCTATGGTGTTTGGTTTTGATAAATTCAAATTAAAATGTACCATTACACTCAGAGGATCAATATGAAATTCAATATATGCAAAATTTGTAGGAAGTACATGACTGATAACTGTTCTGTCCTGAGCTTTTGTTTCTATAGCACCCACTTGACCACACAAACAGTTTCTCGCTACCAACAGGGGGTATTTGCAAAGAATAAAATAAAAATCTGAGTTTAACAAAACATTTTAAATGTAAATATCAAGCTTACCTTTCTTTTTCCATGAAATGTGCTTGTGGGAACGCCAGCCATTTTGAAAAGGTGGGCAAAACAATTGGCAAGGCCACACCCCCACACATGTGATATAATTTTAAAGGTACTGTTGCCCTCTCTAAGAAACATCAGGACTTAGAGGAGTGGGAAGTAGAGTATGCGAGCTACAAGCAAAAACTAAAATGTGTACTACAGTGTGCAAAAATGAAATACTGGGTCATCAGGGGGTCATGAGGGACATTTATAAAACTAAAAGTCCCACTAACCTTAAAGTGCACTTGAAAAGCTCACACAAGGAGGTTAACCTAGCTTACCTAGAAGACCTCATCAGGGGGAGTACACTCCCCCTCCTTGAAGAGCTCACCCACTCAACCCGCATCCCCAGAAAACAGCTAACCCCAGATAAGGCAGCGTGATGTATCCCGAGACAACAGGACTGGGACATCTAAATAAAGGTGTGAAACAATCGCCTTCAAAAGGTTATCAATTCACTTCAACCAAAATTAGGACCACTCGGTGCGGCAAGAGTTAATAGTTATTAGTCTCAACACCCAAGGATAACCAGAAGAGCATGACTGATATGATGGAACTGGGATTTTGTTACACTTAATTTTTGCAAAACACAAAAAACTAAATTGAAACTAAGGATTTTCAGAAAATAAAAACTACACTAAACTAGCAAAGAATTGGTAAAAACGAATTACAACTGGTAAAAATTGAAAATCTGAAGTCGAAGCTAAACAAAAATAAAAACTAATGAAAATTGCAAAACTATTACAACCCTGGTCCAGACTAAGATGGCGTTGGACATCTTCAGGGCAGAAAAGGGTTGGTGTGACCAAGGTGTAGTTTGGCTTGTTGTATGTACATTTCAAAATGTTACAGCTCTGGATGGACCAGTTACCAGGGCATGGAAGGATGATAGACTTTATTACATGGAGGAGAAGGGAAATTTCCGGGATTGAGGATCCTCTGGGATGACAGGCTGGAGCAACGGTACTCGAGAGAAGAATTTCTGATACTTTCTGAGATATGATGTCACTAACCTTCTCTTTTAATTGTCTAGCTCCAATGAATTGACACAGGGGAGTGTGTCAAAAAGGGGGGAGTTGAGTCCGAACATCAAACAATGGTTTTATGAACATCTTATGACGATTATTTCTGTGTTTAATAATTTAGCTATGGTAAAACTTAAGCTTATAATGTGTTAGACTTAGAAAGGGTTCATAATTTTTGATTTCTTTTACACACACATAGATTATGATTAGAATAAGTCCC